GGGAGTTGGTCTACTCATCTTAAAGTGGCCAAGTTTGGACAACACTGGTCTAAGGCCAAGTTAGGGTTCACCCTTCAGGCATATTAAAATTAGGAAATTCATCCTCGCGCTTTTGTTCTAAGGAAGGGCTCTGCCTAAAATTGTCCCAATAAAGGAATCTCCAAATAAAACAATGACACCAAAGGATCCTTTAAGAGATCATCGAGGCGACCCGCCTGGCGTCATCTGGAATCTGCATACCCAAACAAAGCAAGATCCTCCAGCCCCGCCCATCCTCTCAACCTCATCCCCACCCCCTGGCCAGCTTCTCTCAGGCTTCTGCACCTCCCCTCCCCAGAGCAGGGGTGAGACTAGATGACCTCGACAGCCCCTTTCCATCTCTAGGAGTCCACGGCCTTTCTTCCCTTGTGAGGGCTACCTTTTAAAAAATGTCTGCGATTGTGTTTGGACTTGAAAGGGTTGCAAGAAAAACAGGCAGGGGGGAGTGAAAGTGTTTGGCCTCCCATGTACCTATGTCCACCCTCACATGAGCCATTTTTTCCACTAAAAGCCACACTGTCAAAATGCAATCAGGTTGCTACAGAATTAGGGGAGGATCTGTGAACAGCCTTCCCCACCTGAGTCTGGAGAAAAAATAAGGGGGGGGGGCAGAGTGCTTGCTGCCATGCTGTCAGCCTAGCAAAGCCTCCCCATGCAGGCTGGAACCCTGGAGATATGCATCTCCCATCATCCCCAGCCGTCAATCACATTGCGGGAGTTTCTGTCCAACATTTCTGGAGGATTTTGTATGAGGGAGGCTGACCCTTTCAAGCTGATCTCCACCTGCCATCCCTCTTCCTCCCTCCAATTCCCGTTCACCATTTCCCCCTCCCCGAAATGCCCTGGAGCCCAAGGGCCCCTGCCCCTCCAGGGAGCAAGAGGCCGGCTTGCTCTCCCACTCCAGAGAGACTCTCCTTCCAGGCCCCTTCCCATTCAACTCCCCCCACCCCCCTCGGCTCACCCGTTCCAACAAGTTAGGCGCCTGCATCTGCTGGAAAGCCTCAACCGCTACCAGGACTGGGGGTGGTTCAGCCTGCGCGGAGCACCCAAATACCTTGCTCTGGAGACTTTTAATCTGCAGATTCTGTTTGTCCATCCGGAACTGCTGCTGCTTGATCTTCTGCAAAAGCTCTTCGATTCTCAGGTTCTGGCGCCTGACTAGGTTCTGAAACAGACAAACGGACATGGCGGTGGATTAACTTCACTACGTCTGGGGCGCAGAATGAAAGCAGTGCCCTGAAAAACATCTAGCAATCTAAAAAGACGTGAGCCAGTGCAGCACCAAATCGGCCAACTCTGGAAAAAGTCCGCAGGGTCGATCTCTGGCTCACCCCTTTCACCGAGAGGGCAGCTCGCTGGAGGTGCTGGAAAGAACCAAGTCAGGCAGAGCTGCAGTTTCGCTTTCTGGATTTGTTTGCAGAACTCAGATGGTTTGGAAGGGCTTTGCAAGGGAAGAGGAGTCAGGCGCTTCGGGCAGGAAAATGGCAAAGTCAACACTTTGTTTCCAGCAAGTGAGTCTAGACGCTCCCGTTCGCCTCTTTGCACGTCTCCGTGTCAGCTCACTTACGGAGTCACAGCAGTTTTACGCACAGTTTTGCCCGGCATACGACTTTCCACAGTCGTTTGTTTGTGTTTTTTAAATTCACTGTGGAATCTGAACCAGTTTGATTGTGTTTTTCGTACGTGGCAAAGAGGAAGTAACGCAGGCGGCTGGCACAGCCCTGGGAGCGAACTGCTGGCAGAACGATATTCCTGGGAAGACGGGCGAAGGAAGACGAGCCCCTGGAAACAACGGAGCCTCCTCGCCTCTCCTGCCTGCAGGTCGCTCGGGCCACCGAGGGCTCCGGTCTCGACTTTGCGAGGCGGGATCGGCGTGGCTTAAGCAAGGGTAGCTAGGAGCAGCTCCCTGTAAACAAAGGGTACCTCTGCCCAGGTGCAGAGCGCGTCAGGCAACGCGTTCGGCCGCCCGGCAGCTCCGGCGCGCAGAGAGCGCCGTCCTCCCGGCCCCTCCGCCGGCCCCGAGCAACAGCCTCCGGGACGCACCTGCAGCGCGCCAGCCTCCGCCGCCTGGCGGCTCCCCCGGGGGCTGCCGCTGATGTGCTCGGCGCCCGCCTGGCGCAGCGCTCGGCCGTCGAGGCGCCCCGAGGGCTCGCGCCGGGCT